TAATCCACCCAACCTGCTCATCCCTGGACACTATGGGCCAATTTAACACGGCCAACCCACCGAACCTGCACATCTTTGGACTGTGGGAGGAAACCTATGGCGAGAATGTCTGTGTGGGGAGTTTGCACAGTCACCCAAGAGTGGAATCGAACCCTCGTCCCTGGTGCTGTGAAGCAGCAGTGCTAACCACTGAGCCACCGTGTCTATTAAGATAAGCATCCGAAGAGAGAATTTGAAGGCTGTGAGGGAAAAGGGTGATTGGGTTTCTACTGTAGCAGAGGGATAAACAGCTGCTTCCTGTGCTGCACTGTACTCTAAGTGGCTCAGGTGGAATTATTGCTGCACTTAACTCCTCCAGTAGTTCATTTGCTGACTTTGTTGTGTAACATACTGTTTGTTTGTTTGTTTGTTTGAAATGTGATCATATCTCCTGTATCAGCTTAAAGATGTTCAAGGTGTTCCCACTTGTCTGGAAGCAAGGCAATTGGTGTGAAAACCTGGTTTGAGAAGGTGGTAGCGTTGAGGTAGACCTCTGAAGCAATGAGATGAGTGTGAACCCAGAGGAGTAAATGCTGTTTATCCTACTAGTTTATGTCTCCTCAGCCAACTTTGGGAAAGTGATAATGAGTTGTGAAGATCTGTCAGAAACAGAATAGTGTCTGATTTTCCCAGCCCAGGGATTTGTTCAGATGAATCAAGGGTTGTGGGGAAAAGACAGGAAAGTGGAGTTGAGGATCATCAGATTAGCCATGATCTCATTGAATGTGGTGCAGACTCGATGGGCTGAATAGCTGGTTTGTACTCCTTATGGTCTTGAGTTCTCAGCACCATCGTGCTGCTGAACTGGTCCCTACCTTTATACTAACACTGAAATTAATAAAACAAAGTTCTGGAGAAACTCAGCAGGCCTAGCTGTGTCTGTGCAGAGAGAGAACAAAACAGACTGAACATTTCAAGTCGCAGATGATCTTCAGAATTGTTTAGAAGAGTTGTATCGGACTCGATGTTAACTGCGTCTTTCCACAGGCGCTGCTATCAGGCCTGCCAAATTTCTCTGGTATTTTCTGTTTTTACTTCTGATTTCCAGCATCTGCAGCAAATAGTTCTTGTTCTTTTCAAAAAAAAGAACAAGAATGAGTAGTTTTGGACATTAGAGTTAAGGTTAATTCTTTGAAATGTGCCAATTTTGTTGACTCTGTAGATGTTTCTCTCCCATAGCTGACTGAACCAGAGTTCATGTTGAACGTTGCTGAAGAGCCCAGTGGATGTTGGCTGCCAGGGTCCAAATTTGGACCCCCCAGCAGCGTAACTGGTTAGTTTTATCTAATATCTGGGAACTTCCTGTGCTTCATTTTAAATGCAGTTGATTGACAGGGTCATGGGATAGCTAGGACCAGCTGTGATCGAATGGCACAGCAGCCCCGATGGGCCAAATGGCCTAAGTCTGCTCCTGTAACTTCAGGCCTTTCAGGTTGGATGTCATTTCTTGTCTTTGAGAAACCTGTTTGAGTGTTATTCAAGGATATAGGGTAGATAAGGGGCACCAGTGGATGTGGTGTATTTGGTATTTTAAAAAGCTTTTGATGAGGCATCATGCGAGAATACATTGCACAACATTAGGACTTGTGGATTTGAGGGCGATGTGTTAATATGGATTGAGGATTGGTTAATGGACGGAAAACAGAACAGGAATAAACAGACGTGAGTAAGCAGGCTGTCATTACTGGGTACTGCAAGGATCAGAGCTTGGTCTCCAATATTCACAATCAGTATTAATGATTTAATGAGAGCAGTGACATGTTAACTCGGCCCAAGTCTGGCAATACGACAGTAGGTGGGGAAGAAACCGAAGAGGACGTGGAAGGGCTATTGACGGGGCGACCAGATGTACAAAGACATGGCAGGTGGAGAGCATCATTGGCAAGGTACCCACTCTGGAAGCAAAAACCAAAAATGACGAGGCAGGGAAATAATATTCAGAAGGAACCTGGGATTCCTTGTAAATCACCAAGTTAACATGCAGTGAGCAAACATCCGGTAAAGGAAATGATGATGTGTTTGATCTTTCTTACACTTTCCAATAAGGAAGGTGTATCACTGTGGTTATGTAGGATGTAAGTATATAAGGCACAAACTATTCAACTGTGTTTATGTTCCACTCAAGTCCCCTTCCATTCTTGCTTCACCTAATCAACCATTGTAATCTTCTACTTCGATTTTCACTGTGCCACCTACCCCCCCCACCACCCCCAACCCCAGCCGCCGCCCTGGATCATTCCCTTATCTAGTCTCCCCTTAAAACACCTCAGTGATATTTGGTTTCACTGACCTCTGTGGCAGTGAACTCCACATTCTCACTACTCTCTGTGAGAAGATGTTCCTTCTGAATTCCTGATTTGGATTTCTATCTTGTATTGATGGCCGATTGTCATGCTGTTCCCCACAAGAGGAAACGCTTTTCAATATCCACTTTTTGGAGAATTTTCAGAATTTCATCAACCTCTCTTGGGTGTGCACACACGTACGCTCTCTCTTTGAAAGAGCAGATCTAGCTTGTTCCTGTAGCTAAAAGGATCAAAGAGTATTGGGGGGAGAGTGGGAGCAGTGACTAGCTATTGATCATATTGAATGGCGGAGGGCCAAATGCCCTCTCTATCTATTTTCTATGTTTCTATCCATTCTGTGGATCTTTCCTGTACCTCTTCAATGCCTCTCTATCCTTTTTTATTAAAGGCTTGGTATAGATGTGGTTGTTGACTTGCTCACCGAGCTGGTAAGTTTGTTCGCAAAAGTTTCGACACCATACTAGGTAACATCATCAGTGTGCTTCCAGTGAAGTGTCAGCATTCTGTCCCACTTGCTGTTTGTGTCATGGTTTGCTGGGGTGGGTGGCATCACTTTTCCGGGTTTGTTTCTTAGTGGTTGGTATTTGGGGTCCAGCTCCATGTTTGTTAATGGAGTTCCGGTTTGAGTGCCAGGCCTCCAGGAATTCTCAAGCTTGTCTTTGCTTGGCTGGTCCTAGGATGGTTACATTGTTCCAGTTGAATTGGTGTTCCTCTTTGTCAGTGTGTATTGAAATGAGTGATATTTGATCATGTCTGTTGGTGGCTAGTTTCCTTTCAGTTTGCCCTGTGAGATGATTTTGGCAGTCTTTGCATGGTATCTTGTAAATAATGTTGGTTGTGGTTGTCGGATCCTTTATTCTCGGATTGTCGGATTGTGGACTACCATGATTCCCAGGAGACGGAGTAATCTGGTGATCGTTTCAGATCTGTCCTTAATGTATGGTCGGGTGACTAGTGTCTCTGAACGTGTTGTGGCTTCCTGGTGTGGTCTGGTATGTAGCTATGAACGGATGACACTTTTCGGGTAACTGTGTTTCTAAAGACGCTGTATAGGTATTCTTCCTCAGCTTTGTGTACACCCCAGAGTTACAGGATAGCAAGCGGGACAGAACGCTGACGCATCACCGGTGGCGCACTGATGTTACCTAGTATGGTGACGAAACATTTGCAAACAAACTTACCCGGCTCAGCGAGCAAGTCAACAACCTGAGCTACAAATCTTCTCAAAATCCTTGAGCTTGGTACAGATTTAGGGTTTAGTATAGCAACCCCAATTTCCAATTCTATCCATCTAGAGATAAATCACAGTGCACAATTTGCTTTCTCCTGTAGCCTTGCTAACTGTGGCATTTGTACCAGGAGATCCCTGTGTTCCTCCACCCCACTAAGACACTCGCCTTCCAACCAACTAGTTACCTCTCTATTCCTCCTCCTTCCTCATGCTTAACTGTGTTGAACTTACATTATTTTTAACCATCTATTTGGACTTTCCTTGTCATAAGTGTTCTCCTTATTCAATGGGCTCCTATGTTCTCCTGCCCTGTTTTGTCTATGTTTAGGCTGCTTATGTCTTCCTGTAGCTCCTCCCTTCAATCGTAGCACATCCCAATCTTTGCTATTTACACTTCTGCTGTAACACGGGCCCCTATCCTGGCTTTAGGTGGAGTGGGGCCCATTCCTGTGCCAGAGTCTGCCTGTCACATGCTTTGGATAAAACTCTTCTTGTGCACCGGAGCCTCAGCAAACCATGCACACCCTCTTTCCCGCTGCGTTCTCTTCCCCCACCCCCCGCCTCTAGAAGCACTCCGTTACTTTCTAAAGTGCCAGATCAGCCCCTCATGTTGTTCCCTGAGTGAAGTGCTCTGTAGAAGCAGTTCTCTGTTGAACAGGCCTTGGTGTTCGAGTGAAAGCCTAAAGGAAACGTTCCCAGCCTGAGACAGAGCCTACTGACCAGGTAACCAGTCCCAACCAACCACACAGCAACTGTGGATGAAACCAGAAGATTAAAGTTACATTAAACTCAAAATCTGACTAGATTTTAGAAAAAGATCAACCCTGAAAGTCTCTAGTGAGGCCTCCCTGTAGTGCTGTGTACACTTTTTTTTTGGTTTCTTTATCTGAGATGGGATAGACCTGCCGTTGAGAGTGTGCAGTAAATGTTGACGAAGCTGGTTCCTGGGTGAGGAGGCATTGACCAGACTCGGCCTATATTCCCTGGTGTTTAGATCAAATTGAATCGTGAAATTATTGAGTGCCTTGACAGGATAGATGCTAGGCACTTGCTACCCCTCTGTCTGAGGGTCGCGAACTCCAAATAAGGGGTCGTTCATTTTGGACCGAGAAGGTTCTCCTCATCTTCGGAAAGTTGTGTACATTCTGAATTCTCCGCCCCAGAGTGATTGGGAATGAGTGTGTTCCGAGATGGTGAGACGGGGGAGCTGTTGGGGGAGGACCTATGGGGAGAGATTGGGAAGGTGAAGCTACAGCAGATCAGCCTTGAATGGCAGAGCAAACTCAAAGATCCTATTTCCTGCATTTTCTAGCTGCTTCTGTGTAAGTTTTGGAGGTTATTATAAGTTTTTAGGACCGGGAATCATTTCAAGGGGTCATACAGTTTTTGTTTTGTGGTGTTTTTTTTTTTGTTTTGTTTTATAGGTGTTGCTGTGTAAAATGTGTGCTTAACCGTCTGCAGTGAGATTCCTCCCTTTTCCCCCTTAACCATCCCCGGGTGTCCCGACGCCAGCGGAGAAGGCCAGTCTGAAGGAGTCATGCTTTCGGCTCTTGTGGGTGATGGGGTGAGCAGGGGCCAACAACTCCCGATGCCTGAAGCTGCCTCCCTTCTGCTGGCCCAGGAGCTCTGCATCGGACTTCGGAATCGGAGAGTGACCAGGATGTCGGCCCAGACCATGCCCCGGTCCCGGCAGCTGCCCGCCTCCCCCCTTCTCCTCCCGGAGCTCCAGGGCCGCAGAGCGACAAGGACGTCCTCCCAGGGCAGGCCCCCCCACGAGCCGGGGCAGCACGTCCGAACCCACACGCTCAAGTCCAGTGGGCGGATGGTCAGGAAGCTGAACTATCGCGAGGTGGTGAACCGGGGCCTCCTGCACTCGGAAGCGGCTGCGGCAAAGCGGAATGCCAAGCCGAGGGGTAGGGATCCAGCGGCGGAAGGCGGTGGCGGTGAAGGGCAGCTGGAGGCCCGTGTCCAGCACAAGGAGCACCCGAGTGTCCTGCAGGCCCAGGAAGTTGGATTGGTGCAGAGGAGGAGAGCAGGGGCTGTAGGAAAGATCCAGCCTGTAGCTCGCCGGAGTAAGGCCCGCTCCGTTCTGAAGCCAGACTGTGACCAGGTGAGAGCCATGTCTGAGCAGTAATAATGTACCAGTTTTGGGTGGGAGCACTGCCAGTCTGTGTGTGTGGTAGGATCATGGATGACTCAGTAATTTGTGTGGCCTTTTACTGGCTGGGTAAGCTCACTTTTTATCGTCACCAGCTTCTTGGAAAGGAAAGCTTTTGGGAACCCCTGTGTCAGGTCAACTTGTGGCTTGAAATGAAATTTTAATTTGTGTGGATGTTTCAGAGAGTGCACACTGCAGCCTTTCAAAAGGCTGGTAATAGTTAGCAGAAGTGGTCCAATGCACTTCATCTTCAACTCCAGCCCTTAAGCTGATAGAAAATTAGAGCAAAATGTTTTTAATCATGATTCCATTTTTGCACCAGTCAGAACATGGGAATGGTTATCTATTTAGCCTTTCGGTCCTGGTCAGCCTTTCCATTTGGATTATTGCTGGTCTGCACCCGAATACTAGGAGCTATTTTACTCCTTAGCCCTGCCCCAACAAAAATCTGTCTCCCAAACTGGGAGTTTTTACTGAACTCGAATACAATGAATTCTTGCAAAACAGGGATGGTAGGGCCTTGGGTAATGGGCAGGAGAGTACAGTATTCAGATCAACCATGAGATTATTGGTAGTGGTCAAGGTTCATGGGGCTGAATGGCCTACTCCTCTTAATCTGTGTGTTCACGCATATCCAGTATTCCACAATCTTTTGGGAAAACAGAATTCCAGATTTCTGTGTGGGAGAAGTTCTGAATTTCATCCGTCAATCATGGCTCTAAATTTAAAGCTCCCTTCTTTTAGACTTCCCCTCTCAAAGACAGTAAGTAGTTCCTCTCTAAAGCAGTCACTGCTCAACTCAGTTAGGTTACTCTTGTGCCTTCTGAACTCCAGGGAATACCAGTTATACAGAAAGGTTGCATAAGTCTAATGTAACTGTTTGCCTCTGGTATAATTCTGATGAATCTGTGCTGCTTCCCCCTCCCCCTCAACCAAAGCCAATTGAATTGAAGTGTCTAGAACTGAACACTTTTTACCAGATGGGAACCCCTTGGGCCTCTAGACAGCTGAAGCATTGCGTCCCCGTGCCCTGTCCCCTGCTTTATTTTCCAGGCACCTTGGTATACAGACCAGAATGCATTGACCTTCCATTATCTTTAGGTCCTGGAGATGTGAATCCTTTTCTCTGCAATTTCTAGTTTCTCGTCACGAAGAAAATATTCTCCTTGGTTCTGGATCCCTAATTCTTTTTGTGTTGCACTGCATCCGCCAATATTGCCTTCATTATCTGTGCCTCTTCTAACTTGCTGCTCCCACACGTGTGATGTTTATTGTGCTTCCTAACACACCGGTTTTTATGTAGTGTTCTTTCTCTCAGCTGTATTAACATCTGGTCACAGGCTGAGATCATTAGCTCTGGAATAGTTTGCACTCTTGCTATTGATTTTAAATTCTCACTTGAAGAGGACAGTCTGTGGTTAACTTGGCTGGAGCCCTTGTGTTGATGCTGTTTCACATCTGCTTCTTATAACTCGATACAAACTGGAGTATACCTCGTGCTTACGTTTGTAGAGCTCGGCGGATGTGTTTAGATAGTTTAGCAGGATTGTCATCTAGTCATCCTGTTGGAGTTGTTCACCAGATCTCAATAACTGCTGCTCCGTTTCAATTCTGCTCTTGTTCACCTCTTGTCCTGGTTTCCTAACACCAGAGCAGTGCTTGATGTATGTAATGAAGTGCTAGTAGTTACCACCTTTTGGGGCTGGTGTGTTAATATATTCAGAAAGGAGCAAGGGGGTTTATTGAAATGACAAGCAGCTGGAAAGTTGGAGTCATTCTTGCAGACTGAATGGAGCTGTTCTGCAAAGCAGTCACCCAGATGTGTTGGGGCTCGCCAGTGAAAGGAGACTGTGTATTGTGAGCCACTAAAGAAGCTTAGCTCGGAAGAAGTACAAATAAATTGCTGCTTCACCTGGAAGGTGCGTCTGCACCCTTGATCAGTGAGGAGGGAGGAAGTGAAGGGGCAACTGTAACACGCCTTGATAGTGGTGTAGATTGAATAGTTTTAAAATAGCTGGGTAGATCCTTTGTTAGGCCAGAGAATTGAAGGTCGGTGGGAACATAGCGTACAAAGGAAACAGATCAGCCATGAGCTTATTGAATGGCGAAGCAGACTCAACAGGCCAAATGGTCTACTGCTATTTGTTATGTTTGCATGTTAATGCTTCTGTCCATTCGAAACATAGGAGAAGTAGGCAATCCAGTCCCTTGAACCTCCTCTGCCATTCAGTTGGATCATGGTCGATCATTGCCTCAATGCCATTTCCCCACACTGTCCCCATATTCTTTGAAGTCAGTTGTCTCCAGAAACCTATGGATTTCTGCCTTCAATTTGCTGAATGATTGATTGCGTATCTACAGTCCTGTGGCTTGGAGAATTTCAAAGACTCACTACACTCCAAGTGAAGAACTTTCCCTTCACTTCAGTCATTTTAAAAAAAATACCTACCCCCTGTTCCCAGGTTGATGATTCCCCAGCCAAGGGGAAATATCCCCTCTGCATCCATTGTCACACATTGTAAGAATTTTGTAAGTTTTAATGAGAACCTATTGTTGAAAACTCAATAAATGCCCTCGTTCCTATGCTAACGTTTCCACCCTGGGCCTGCTACAATATTCCAACAAAAGCTCAACATAAGCTGGAGAAACATACCTCATTTTCCACTTGGGCACTTTATAGCTTCTAAGATCAACATTGAGTTCAGCAATTTCTAAGCATGAACACTTTTTTTTTCTATTTTGATTGCAACCATCTGCTTCCACTTCTCCCCCATCACCCCCCACTGCTGTGTTTTCAGTTGAACAAACCCATATTCACTTTTTTCACACCTATCATTGACATAGCTTCTTACATCTCAATCTCTCCTTTATCATCATTAGTGCTTCCTTTGTCTTTTTCTCTGGGCAGCCTTCCCATCTGTTCATCTTGGTCATCCTTCCCTCTCTATCAACACCATAGGAGACACATTTTCCAGCCCCTTTCAGTTCCAAAGGATTGTCATTATTGGATTCAAAACGTTAACTCTGCTTTCTCTCCACAGATGCTGCCGGACTGGCTGAGTTTCTCCAGCACTTTGTTTTTATTTCAGACTTCCAGCATCTGCAGTATTTTGCTCTTTATATAAGTCCTCCTGAAGTCGTGCAACCCTCTGAGAAAAACATTCTCATCTCTGTCCTGAAAGGATAATCCCTAATTTTAAAACAGTGTGCCGTGGTTCTGGACCGACACAAGAGGAGACATCCTTTCCATGTCCAGCTTGTCAAGACTGTTCAGAATTTTCCACACTTTAATAAAATCACCCCTCACTCTTCTAAACCCCAATGGGAACAAGCCCAGCCTGTTCAATCTATTCTCAAGATAACCAGCTCATTCCAGGTATCAATATAGTAAACCTCCTCTGAACTTCTTCCACTCCATTTACATCTTTCCTTAGATAAGGAAACTGCACGCAGTATTCGAGATGTGCTCTCCCCCGATGCCTGTATGACTTAAGTATAACATTTTTACTTTTATGTTCAATTTCGCTCATAATAAAAGATCGCATCCGATAAGTCTCCTCTTGATTGTGTGGTTCCTATGTACTGTTTTGTGACTGTTGCACTAGTGCATTTAAATTCCTCTGCACCTCCCCATTCTGCAGAATTTGTCCCAATTAAGTAACACTGCTTTTGTTTTTATTCTTCTTGCCAAAGTGAACAACTTCCCATTTTCCCACGTCATACACCATGTGACAAATCTTTGCCCACTCACTCAACCCACCTGCAACTTCCTTATGGCTTCTTCTCAACGTATTGAGCAGATGTCCCAACATCAGCTGGTTGGACTCTCGCTCTTTACTGTACTGAATGGAGTCAGTTTCCTTCACTATGCTGTGAATACTACATTGCCTGTTGCTCACCCCATTTCGGTGGCTTTCTGTACCGTGGTGCGGTGGTTAGTTTGCTTATCCACCTTGCAGACCCCATTCTCATCCAAGCAGGCTGACATCCCTACATTTGTGCCCCCTGGGTCCCCTTACCTGCCTCATTCATGTCCCTGACTTCTGACCAAACCAGAAGCCCTATCCGAAGTGGTGGCACTGCCTCCTGGTGTAAAGAATATATGTACCTTTCCCCTTCCCTGGTGCACCGCAGTGTCTATTTCAGCCTCAAGCTCATTAGCTGTGTCGAAGCTGCTCAACCTTCAAATGCTTACTGCAGACGTGTTTGTGCTAGATCACAGGGCTTCCAAGAATTCTCACATGCTACAGCCTTGATGCATCGCCTGTCCTGCCATCCTTATGCATTTTAATTTTATATTTATACTAATCAATTGTCCTTAACCAAGACTCACCAAGCAGTGAGCTCTTGTTTCTGTACTGGAGGCTTTAAAGAGACAAATTATCGGTTAATCACTAGAAAAACAAATATATGAATAAGTTGGGAGGATCAATTTGAAAGTTGAAGACATGCTGTTGAATGTTTTTGTCTTGCACTCATCAGAACACTTCATAAAAATACCAAGGCAGAGGGAAAGCATCCTTTTTATACTGTACCAGAAGAGATTGGTTGGCAAATGGACTCTGGTAAAGGTGTTGCTATGGACAGTGAACCAGCTAGATGATAGCTGACAATTAACTGCCAAGCTTGATGCCCTAGCTGAGAAATTGGCCAAAGGGTTTTTTTCTGTTTGCCACACGGCTACCTTCACAGGTCAGTATGTGCATTGACACTCCTACAGTTCTGTGCGCTGATTAATTGGCCTTTTCGGTAATCTTGTAAATGGGACCCAAGGCATTTGTTCACTGCGCAAGCTTGATGCTGAAATAGGCTGTAACGCAGCAATCCCATTGGATAATGGCTTTCCTGATCAATCTTTATCACTGTTTATCATGTATACTCTGACCAGCCTCATTACCAAGGAAGGGTATGGCATCACAATAGTTTGAGTTGCATCGTGCTGTTACTATGTG